AAGAGATGCCCCGTCCATGTCCAGCAGTGACTGGTGATTGGGACACCCACTGTCCCCAGTTTAAAAGGTTAGCATGACATTCTGTAGGGTGCAATATGACTTTGGCCTGTTTGGGCCAGCTGTTCTGCCCATGCTCTTTCCCATCTTCCTGTGTCCCCTCTCACTGGCAAAGTACTGAAAAGCCCTTGATGTGTGGCAATCATTGCTGAGCAACTACCAACACATCAATTTGTTATCATCATTACTCCTATACTGAACCCAAAATACAGCTCTGTACCAGCTACCAGGGAAAAAATCTAACTCAAGACCACCCAGCCAAAATCTGGAGAGCTGACTACTGGAATTAAAACAGTGACATTGTTTTGACTAAGTTATTGGTTGGTTTCAATCAAGTAATATTCACAGAAGTCACTCCAATAAATTCCCTAATTTGAAACAGAGCATTGATTTGATTGCCCTGTTAGTTTGTTCAGATCATGAGTATCTATGGAGTAAAACCATGTTTTATGCAGCATTGAATACACATAAAACAAATTAATAATGTGTTCAGATTTGTCCCTTGTACATCAGGTTTACCTGTTTAACTAGTTAACAACTTCATTTTGATGATTATTTACTATTCTGGCCAGAAAGTTTAAATATGATATTTTCAGTGAGATTAGACTGATTTACTGGGGTGATCAAGCAATAATTAAATGAAAATTAGAGAATCAGGAAGATTTCAGCAAGATTTCAATTGAAATTCCAGGTAGATTCCTGAAAATACCTAGGCTGATTTCTGCTGCATATTCCCAGTAGACCCAGAGTTAAGAGCTTCAAGAGACCTTGGGATAGTATATCTGGTAGCTGCTTTAGCCTAATGGATACTATTACATGAACTTCACAGAATGTCAGCTGTCTGCCTTCTAACTCTGTTGTGTCCTAATACACCAGCTCAGCAATTCATTCAAATTATCCCTTTAAGGAAAATGGGCATAGATAAAATTGTACACTGTTAATTTAGCCTTTTTTTTTTCTCTAAAGCTACAAAGAACTTAAAGGGATGAAATAATTAGATGCAAATTAACATTCATATTTACATGTAGTTAATTAGAATACTTTGTTTTATGTACCTAATCTGTTTTTGACACCATAACCTTTTAAAAGCCTCTCTTTGAAAATGTTGAAAACCTAATAAAAATATTAATTATAATATACCAAATTTTTATTTTTTTATTTACTCATACCTTGATTGTTAGACTGACTGGTACATTTATATTTTACTTATCTTTGATAACCATTCTATTTCAATGTATAAATATTAATTACCAAAGGTGCATGCAAAAGATAGAATAAAGGGAGTTTAGACAAGTCCTGTCAAATATGTGACTTGTGACTTCAGATATTAAATTTTAAAAAATTTTAAATAAAACAAGAAAGATCTTTAAAAAATTGTAAATCTAAACAACAGAAAATTCATGCCATGTCTGTTATTTTTATTGTGAGTCTGCCTATTTTTCCTAGAATTTTCATACTGTTTAGGCTTCTTTTCATCACGATCAAGTAGCTGCTGAACCCATGCAAATCCATGTTACATTTCATGACCAAGAGAAGGGTGTGACCTAGTCATAGTCTCTGCAGTGGATTCCTACACATACCACTAGATTAATGTGATTTTCACTCAGACCCAAATAATCCCAGACAGAAATACTGGACACTACACCACAGAAGCAATATTCTTTTTTATTTTACATGTTTGTAGGTATGGAAATGTTATACTAATAAGTCAAGGGCAGGATAGGCTGTCCCTTTGTCCCCGTGAATCAAGAGGTCATTTATTTGAGTTTCAGCAGTCTAGAAACAAATTATGATCTTAAATAAACATTTATGGGTTTACTATGCAAGCATTTTAGGCACTTAAATCATCACTATTAACTGTATCTTTTGTAATAAAAACAGTGTTGCTGCATGTTTTCAAAAAATAGAAAAATTTATGTTCTTCATATGTTGCTTATTACACCAAATGAATGAATAAATGAATAAATGGAAAAAAGACAAAAACATTAAAAATACAAAAAAAAAATCACCATTATACTTACATGTTTATGAAGCTGCTACATTTTAGGAGGTACAAAAAAATGTTCATATCATTCATCATTTAAAAATATCCATAGTATTAAGAGTGCAAGGAAAGCTCATGTTTATGACAATTATGTTTCAATATTTATTTTGATAGCTGTGTCTGTGAGATACTGAGTTGAGGACTCTTTTTTAAGTTTCTTACCTAGTCTAACAATATTCAGGGAGGGTAAATAATATGATTAAGCTGGGGTTTTTGACAGTGATGGCGCTTTGACAAGGGATTTTGCCTGTAAAGATTAAAATGGTGATCAAAATGGCCTCATGGAATATGTACCTTGTCAAACAAACATGGGATCTTTTTGCACAAGTTTGGTTGGTAATGGCAGCAGATAACTGCATTGGAATAATGTAGTTATACTTCCATAAAGCAGTTTTCCTTGTCTTTCTTCCTTCTGGTGAAGATACTGTTATGCAAAATCAATGAAGCTTAAATATCAGCTATGAAAGATGTATAAGAAAGTAATTACAAATGAAGTATCAGTGTGAACAGGATGCATAATCAGATGACTCTGAAAAGTTAGTTCTTGCTTTTCAACCTCTTAATCAATTATCTGACCAAATTTGCTGATCATAGATAATTAGTGAGCAAGAAATAATGGGCAAAGACCAACTCAACTTAATTATATTGCTGAAGGAAATTACTTTTCTTTAGACAACATATGTTTAATAAAGTCAAATGAAAGGGCATGCAGCAAGGACCAAAGTGTGTAGCTCACACTTGCAGGATGAGAAATGGCATCCTGGTGTTCAGCAAAACTGTCAGACTTAGAGGAAATAATATACAAGTGAATATGAGCTCCCTGAGCAACACTGCAGCTAAGCAGGTGAACATGTTTTTAAATGCATTACTATAAAAATATTTAATAGGAGTGAGGAGGCTGTTTTTGTGTACAACACTTGAGAGACTTTTGCTACCGTGCCTACATGCATTTTTGGTGGTTGCCTTTAAAAGAGATATTGATATATTAAAATATTGTAGAGAAAAATTACAAGAGAAGTTCAAGATTTGGGAAACTAGCAAAATATATCCAAGATAAGATTATCAAGTCGTGGTCTACAAGTTCATATGTGGGAAAAATCGATTCTGATAGGAGACAGAGCTTGAACACATTAAAAAGGCCTGTGATTGGAAAATAGATAATTCAGAAGACAAACAAGAATCACCTCTTAAAATCATAGATTCATGTAATCATTTAGATTGGAAGGGACCTCTAGAGGTTATCTAGACTGCTTGCCTGCTCAGAGCAGTATTAACTTTAAATTAAGATCACTTTGAGCAAGGTCTTGAACAATCAAATTTGAATGTCCCTGAGGGTGAAAGTGTCACAGGCTTGGTATGTATCCTGTTCCAGCCCCTACACATTTACTCTGCAATTTTTTTCTTATATCCAACTGAAAATTCCCATTCCTTCCCATCTATAGCTTGTATAGCACTGAGGGGAGTCTGGCTCCATAATATTGTTTATTTCCTGTACATATTAAAAAGAGAATTTAGGTACATAATAACACTGCCATAATTGAAAATTAAATGCAATATGGTGAAAAGAAAATGCTTCTATTTTGTAAGTGACATGGATGGAGTTTTCAAGAGGTTTAGGGTTCATATAAGTCATGAGCCTGATGCAGGAGTTGATTCTGGATGAAATTCTGTGATTCTTACAACTTAATTTAGCTAAATTAAATTTTGATTTACTATAAAAGTTCATGCTAAACATTAAACTCATGCTACTATGCAGTCAATCAATTGCAAAAATAGTCTGGTTGAGTAATTAACAGAATTAAAACTGGATAGCAAAGGAATAAAATCCTTCCCTGTCCGATTAGTGATGCTCATCATTTTCCCAATAGTGCTGAGTTGGTAGATTCAGTATTGATTTGGACTCTAATTTACTAGCCTTGGTACTGGTATTTACAATCTTATGGAGATTAAATTATAGGCTTGGAGCATAATGTTGGAACAGTACTTAACTTCCTATATGTGTTTATAGGATCAACACTTTTCTAGACATGGAATATTCTTTTTAGTCAGTGAAGAGAGAAAGAAGTATTTCTAGTGAAAAAAGAAATCATGGACCAGAAGCTCAGACTAATTTTGGTGAGATTAATTTTGCCTCAATGTGCCTTCTTCTATCCACTGATCAGGAAAAAGAATATAGGTGAATGATTCAGGAGCTGATATGGTACTCATCTAAATAATTATCTTAAATTGTGTGATATGAGTTCTGAGAAAGACTGTGTAAGACAATAAATATTAATAAAATAAAAATACACATAAACACTGAATTCTCAAATCACAAAATTAATCTTATATCATTGTTCTCTCCTAAGAAGAGCAACAAAGATGATGAAAGGACAAAGGGCACGACTTACGAGGGGTGTCTGAGGATAGTTTTGTTCAGCTCAGAGGAGAGGAAATTGAGGGATGGTCTCTTTGCTGATTATCACAAGAAGATGATGAGTGGAGTGGAAGGTGCTGCTCTTTCTGGTGTTGGGTAATAGGCCTCAAGGGGAAGGCTGAAAACTGTGCCAGGAAGAGTTCAAAGAGGACATAGAGAAAAAGTTCTTCACTGAAAGTGTGAACAACAATCAGGAAAAGCTCCCCAGGTAAGTAGTTATGGACCCTAGCCTCTCACTGTTCAAGAAGCATTTGGACAACACTCTTAGACCTATGGTTTAACTTTTAGATTTCCCTCAGTGGAGTTTTGAATTGGACTTGATAACTCCTTTGTCCTTTCCAGCTCAGGGTATTCCATGATCCTATTAGTCTAATCTTTCGTGATCATGTATTTGGATAGATTGACATTTCAGCTGCTATTTATATTTCATAGCTCACAGTGACATTTTGAATAGAGACTCTGCTAGTGCATGTACAGAAGAATTGTACTTCTTCAAGTTTTTGATCATAATTTTATGCATATGCTGGTAATTATAACTTTGAGTATTTCAGACTCTACTTAAAGACAGAATTAACCCTTTCATTAATTTGATAAGTTTTCTCAAATATTAATTCAGTTTTGCTGGGGTTTAGTGGGAGATCAGTTTCTGTCCCTTGTTTTCTAGAATAATATCTTTAATCTTGTATATTTCTGAAATTAAAGCTGAAGTCTTAATTTATAATCAACATTTATATAAAGTAGTGAATTTGGAACTTTGTTCTGTGTTTTGATTAATATTTTTAAGGCTTTTCTTGTTTAAAAAATAGACTGCCTCATAAATATTCTGTTTCATGGACCTACAAACCAATATTTACATTTACATTCCTCCTTTCTAATAACTTGCATGAGTTACAGATCAATAACTTATCCATGCATCTTTCCCAGCATAAAAATAATAGAGTATTAAAGAAAGTGTTTATAAAGCTGTAGTGCAATCAACATACAAATGGAAGTAAAAAGCAGATTTTTGCATCTAAGGACTCATTTAATATGTTTTTTTTTTTTTTTATTGTGGACTTGATTTCCAAGGATTATCCTTTAAAACTAATACAGTTTAAAAATAATAGAGTTTTGGATTATGTAGCATATATAATTAACCATGAACATTCATCAAAATGTTGTAAGTACAGTTAATAACCTGAAATTATAATAGGTGACAGTTTAAAACATTGATTTTTATTATAAATATAGACCACTGTGTAATTAAGTTTTCACTGTTTTCACTGTACAATGTATAAGTGTATGGTCATACTGTATCCAGGTAGCACACATACATATAATAGCAACATTGCCAAGATTCACCGCAAATATGCAAAATCAAACAATAAAAACCTAGCTTTAACCATCAAAATGTATAAAATATTACAATTGAACAGCCAATTTTCTCTTCTCTGGAGACGCTTAATGCACCTTTTCTTTAACTTTCTGTTTTCTTAGAAGCAATAAGCTAAAAGTGAAGCGTTAACTTTACTAAAAACGGTATTACTATTAAGCTGCAACTCTTGCTTGCATTCCAACAGAAGACAATAATAATGAATTAAAAAATATTTTTGTGGATAGTACCCTACTACTACATCTGTTTGCTTTCCTATTTCCAGTGTATGATGATGACTGGTTCTTACCTTCTGTCTCCTTCGCATATTAGAGACCTCTCTGTATTTCCACATCATCTGCTTCTGGTGCACCCTTTCAAGATATTTACTGCACATTCTCCCTTCTCTGATCCTCTGCCCTGAACTTTCAGACAGATAATAGGATTTTGTTAACTGGGCAGTTGAAAGACATCACATGCCTTTCCATGTAGAATAATCAAAAAAATTGTGTATCCTAGGTTTTTCACAGCCTGTGCCTAAGTAACAGAGTTCTGACACACTGTCTCATCACCTACCTACTCGATTGTGTCTGCAGGTGGCAGGTATAGTTTCAGAAGCATTGCATGCTACATAATTAAGTCCTGGGTAGACCATGGAAATAATATTTTGCGACTGTGATTAATTGTATTTCTGTTGCAGTTATAACTTATACTTGCAAGATACAGCTCAAATTGAATTGGTATCTTTTTACTTAAATGTATTAAGAAAACAGATGACTGAAATATCTGTCTGGCAATATTCAAGTTCATCACTAGACATTTAAATACACACCTTATCTGCAAAATTTTTCTACCTAATTTAATGTAGAATTTGTTTTTTAAGCAAGCAGAAGTGTACTCAAAGAAAGGTACTTCTGCAAATATATCAGCACATAGGTTTTTTTTTCCACTTTCATGGGTAACTTCACAATTAAACAGCTTTAGTGCATTCTATTGCACAGACCAGAATGGTCACCAGTCTGTCCTGTATAACATCTTGCATGCTGTATAGTCATGAATGTTTGTTACACTGCCAATTAATTTGTAATGAAAATATTTAACAAAGGGTGATTTTTCCAGCTGGAAGCAAAGTTATTCCCTATTCCCTATCCTCTTTAACACCACTACCATCATCTCCCTCGAGCCAGTATCATGAGATCTTTATCATCTCAAAGTGATGTTAAAAATAGGCAGATGGGAAATCATTTTAATACCTTATGTGGAGGATAGTATCCCCCAGTAGTGCAACTGCCCTCCTTATATTGGACCTTGGCACCAGCATTTCAGAAACCCACTCCCAATGTATGATACTTTCTGTATGCCCTTGTTGGAGGTCTTTTGTTTGCCTCCTTTATTCAGTGTTTCATCATGACAACTGAAAGTGACATTTCAAAAGCTAAGAGGATTTTACATAACAGGACCCCTATTGTCATTCTTCATTTCCTTTCAATTCAAGCACATTTGCTGCATTTTCATTATGTAGGAGATCATGCAGCATGTCAGCACACAAAGTCTCTTCCTTCCTGCTGGCAAGGTACATGAAGAGTAAGTCTCAGGGCCAGAGACTTATTCTTGCACAGAATACAGAAATGGCTTTTATTAAGGGAGGCTAACAGCCTGTGCCAAAAACTAGCTTCACATGGACATAGGAAGAATCTAAACAAAAGCTTATGAATTTTGTCATATAAAATGTTCACAGTGACAACAATACAACAATGCAATGATTGAGAAGAGAAGAATAGAGAAGATGAGAAGAGATAGAGAAGATAGAAAAGAAAGGTAACTGACTACATTAACTGGCACAAAGGACTCACAACTATAATAGAAGTGTGGGGCTCATGTCTCATCCATCATCTCTTAAACAGGTTGAAAAGAGGGCACTTAGATATGGTCAGAGAATGGAGAAAATTTTGGGAAAATACTTCTGAGAAGAGGAAGATTTATTAGGCTTCTGCATTTCTCTGAAGATTCTAGTTTTATGATTTAAAGACCTCCATGACCACCAGTTGATGCTCTAACAGGACTAAAAATGGACAGCACATAGCAGTGCTGAATTAATTGAAACCCTGCTGAGAGTCCTATGGGATCTACTTTGCTCTTGCTCCACTTGTGAATTCCTTTCTCGTCTTCTGCTTCTTCTTCACTAGGAAAAAAGAAAAGTCTGATTGTTTAACCAGCAGCACAGGAATAGATGGATCTGTCTCACTATAAGAAGAAATAAGCCCAAAGAGAGTATCTCAGATTGAGGAAAATGGAGGAGGAACTAAAGTATAAAAGCAAAATCTGCTGTCAAGGCCCTGATAATCTGAGGATATAAACATAAACACATATGTCCTTCTATGTTTTCTGTATTTCCTTTTGCCCCTCATTTTCTCTTCGCATTTGCCTTTGACTGTCTTGCCAAATAGGAAAGGTGAATCTAAGTAGCAGAACTATCATATTCTTAACTGATAAAATGATAGAAAGAATAACAGAAATCCTCACCATTTAAAGAGAATTTTGATATATTTTGATTTATTGATCAGCCATCTCAACATGCTCAATGCTGCCTTCTGATCGTTTTTTTTTTTTTTCTGATCTACCCAACACATGTAACAATTACTCTTTAATTTTCCAAACTTTCATAAATGCACATAATAATAAGTATTAATAAGTAATTAAATAAATAATAATAATAAATTCTTGCTATCTCAACTGGAAATATGAATCTTGTATGTTTAATGCTGCAGTAAAATAGGATAGTATGGTCTGCTAATACATGTGATAACTGGATTACCAAAAATTATATTCCACATGAGAAGTCCCCAATGAAAAGTAATTTGTGCCTACATTCCTTGACACCAATGTACTGGCCAGGGGGTCAGATTGGTTTCTGTTGGAAGGGACCTTAAAGGTCATCTGTTTCCAAGCACCCCTGCCACAGACAGGAACACCTTCCACTAGACCAGGTTGCTCAGATCTCCATCCAACCTGGCCTTGAACACTTCCAGGTATGGAGCACTCACAACTTTCCCAGGCTACCTGTGCCTGTGTTTCACCACTGTCACATTAAATAATTTCTTCCTAATATGTAATATAAAATTAGCCTCTTTCAGTTTAAAGCCATTTATTCCTGTCCTGTCACTGCCCTCATAAAAAGTTCCTCTTCAGCCTTCTTGAAGAAAAGCAATAGAGTCAGGAGTGTTTTCTTCTTATCCATTAGATATTTGGGAGCATTCCTTAGTAAGACATGATTCTTTGTATTGATACATGTACTGGGATTTTCCCAGGTTATTTATAAAAATGATCAGGCAAGTACAACCTGGCTCCGAAACATATGATTAGAGACATCATTGCTTAAGGATTTCAGGTTGCAAAATGAATTTTGGTGTATGATAAGTGCAGCTCTAAATATATACAATATAAGCAAAACGTTTTGTGGTCCCAAACTGAATATCCTGTAGTTTCCACTACAGTCTCTACACACTGTTACTGTTTCCAGATGATCTTCAGTATCTTTCAAAAAATAAGCAGAAGAAAGCAGTAGATAAATCTATCTTGTCCCAAACCATTTCATTATGTTTTTGTGGGTTTCTTTTAGTTGCTTTGTTGTTTTATTTTAGTTTAGTTTGATTAAGTATTCTCACTTTTCATTCAGAGTTCTACAATGAAAAGAGATTTTTTTTTCTATTTGAAATGTAAGCAGTTGCACATGTATAATTAGTGGAGATGCTTGGATTCCATTTAAAGAAAAGGGTTCAAGTTTTTCAATGGACTAGTACTTAACTATGTCTTTTCAAATGCATCCCAAAATCTCAAAAAGGCAAACAAGCAGCAAAGAAAGCTAGGAAGTATTTCTTTATTTTTAATGGGCATATATTATAATATATATTATGAATAAAAAACAAGTATCTGTTATCAATATATTTTTAATATAATATATATTTAATACTAGTTATTGAAAAGAATTATCAATGGTTTCATATAGTACATGAAACAAAACTCAAGACCTTATAAAACATGTCCTCCCCTCTTTAACTTCTATTTTTTTTTAAGTCATTAATTTTTTCTTAGTTGCTGCTAATCGATGTATCTCTTCTTTTGCTTTCTTCACTGATTGTCTGACTATGGAAATTATCTGGAATTGTTTATCTCTGTCTCACTCTAATTAATTCTTCTGACATCTGTTCTACAAAATCTGATTTGCACTGGTATACATAAAAAACTAAAACTTTGGAAATAGCTGTTTGAAAAGTAGTGTGTCATTATATATGCTTATGCACAACTCTGCTTTTGCCTCTATTATTTGTCTCAACAGGGTTTTTTTGGTCTAACTGTGCTACCTCAGTTTAGATTCCTCTTCAGATTCTCTCTGAACCCAGTTTCATTTATTTCTCAACATTTTGCTGTTGCATGCTGTTTTTCCACTCAAGCTTTTTTTCAAGTGAATCAATATGGCAGCAATCTGCTTTACCCTTCAATAACCACTACGTTTATAAATACTGAACTACCAAGTCAGAATGAGAAGAACCTTTCCCTGTTTTATTAATTATATTGCTTTCAGTAGTGTTTTATTTCTACAACAGTGATATAATTTTTCAATGCAGGAGTACTGGCAATTTAAAAGAACTGCATTTAGTATAGAGATTTCATTTTATATATAAATTTCTAAGTCTGGGAAAAAACCTCTGGTGGATTTACAATTTGTTCAAATAATTTCTTTTCCCACCATCCTTAGTTGTTAATACATCTTTCTGAGCAATTTATATGTAAATATCTATTGATACAAAGGAGAGTGAATGAGGAAAACAGACAAGCTACACCACATACATTACAGTAGATTTTCTTAAAAGTTCTCCTTTCAGCTAAAACAGTAGAAAGAAATAGCAGCATCAGTGTCTTTGATGTAGGACCTGTTGCTCTATTTCAATATCACTGCATTAGAGAGCAAACCAGGGGGCATGTAGAGCTTTTAGTCAGGTGAGCTGTGGCATCTTTGTATGTTTGTAGAAGTTCTCAAGCCACCTCTGGTCAGTCTACATGGGGCAGCTGCACAAGCCACATTGTCTCTACAGGCTGCATAACCCCTAATGCAGATAGGTTTAGGGTTAGCCAGTACAGTCTGTACTTAGTGCCTGAGCTAGTTTTGATCTAGCTTACCACTGCTGCAATCACCCTTCTGATTGCTTCAGGCTCATGGCTCTTTATTCTCATTGTATAAGGTAAAATGCTGAACAGATTACTTAAAGCAGTGGGATAAAGGTGAAGAGAAACCTCTAAGGTTTGATTCTCAGGGGAAATATAGGAAAGAGATGAGAGTGAAGCTTTGGAATTTCACAGAATCACAGAATATTAGGAGCTGGAAGGGACTCACATAGATCAACTCCAGCATTTCAGTGAATAGCCTTTATGGAGATCAAACCCACAACCCTGGTGTTGATAAGACTGTGCACTAGCCAACAGAACTAATGCATCAATACACACAAGTTACTTACATATCTGTATTATGTCTGTGCACATAAGATCTGAATATGCAACTCTATATACTAAAATGAGTTATGCTTCATAAATGAAGCACAAGAAACACTGACCAATTTCCTCAGAAAAAGAAAACAAAACAAAAATAAATACAATATTCCAAATTTTTTCAGTTTTGAGAACTACAGTATATAGTCAGCTTTGCATATACTTTTGCTGAATCTGTAATGAAAAAGACTTGTTTTACATTATATATTTTCTCCTTTGCCCAGCTGGGGAGGGAATTGATGGAGCAGCTTTTTTGGGCACCTGGCATCTGGCCAGGTTCAACCCACAAGGGCACTACACTTATATAAGGTCACCCACTTCACAGATTTCTCTTTTCATAAAAGCACAACTTTTAAACATTCATTGTGCCTTTAATGTGTAGAAGGAATGTGAACTTTACAAACAGGATGAAAGAATTGGTTTGGGTTTGACAAATGTACACCAGCTTAGTTGCTCAGGCTTCTTTACCTGCCTGGCCTTCAGCTTCCAGCCTGAAAGACTCGAGCCAGGTGTCCCCAGTATCCTAAGTCACAGCATCCACCCCTGTGTAGATGGAAGTCTGGAATACTCTCTGCTGCCTACCTTTAAAAATAGGAATTCAATCTGTACCTGTGGTAAGGTGAATTAAGGTCTACTGCTTGTCTTATCTCCATTGACTTTAACAGAAGGTTGCACATATGCATCTTGGCAGCTACTGCTTCAAGAATCAGAGCTTTGATCCCTATTGTACTACTTTGTCTTAACCTGTGGCTCCTGAAATGTCTGCTCCCCCATGCAACTTATTTTTCCTGAGTCCTATCATCTTCAATCATTTCCATAAGTAGTTCCTCCTCCTCCATCTGTCCTCCTGGAACTACTGGTTTGCTAAGAACTTTTTACTCCAAATCCTTGTGTGATTAACAGCTCAGAAAAAAAAAAAGTGGATTTTGCCAGATACATGACATTTTATCACACATCACTTTGATGAAGATTTTTACCACATCTGGCAGCTCAGAATATGCAGGAATATTTCTGATTAAATTGAGCAAATTCAGTTCCAATCACACTTAGGCATAAGAAAGCAATAGGCATTCAACTCCTGTTCTGTTCTTTAGTTAAACATGAAAAATATGCATCTCAATGTCTCTGTAATTAATATTGACCAAAATGATTCACATAAAGTTAGTTGAACAGGTTATTTCTTTTCAATAATTATATATTTAAGCATATGTTTTACCTTTATCATCTCCTTTTTAAATAAACCAAACATTTTAGGCAA